AACCTCGGCCCATCCGCCTGGATCTGGGGAAAGAAAAGTCGGTGCATGAGGTAATTCGTAAATTTAAAGCCGCTAAATCCATTAACAATGATCTACGCCAAATATCTATCTCTTTTGACCGTACACCTAAACAGTTAGATTACCTTAAGAAAACTAAGTCTGAATTGAGACAACGAGAGGAAAATAGCGAAAACAACTTAAAGATCAAGTTCGTTCATGGCATTCCGAAAATAATTTCTTCTTCTTTAAACTGAGACAATCCAACAGTGTTACGGACTTGAATTTTCGCTACCAGAATGTGCGTGGACTAAACACCAAATTAGGAATCTTTACCCCAGTGCTAGTGTCACGTCATCTGACTTTGTATGCCTGACCGAAACTTGGCTTACTGACAGTGTTTCTAATGCAGAACTCTTCTTCGACGATTTTATAGTCTTCAGATGCGATAGAGACTTCCTAACAACTGGCTTATCTCGAGGCGGTGGTGTCTTAATCGCAAGTAGGGCCAATATTACTTCAAGCTCCATCGATCTTTCCGAACTTAGATCAAATTTTCCTACAGTTGATATTGTTGGCATCAAGTGCTACTTTCAGCAGTGCAGCCTTTATATATTTGTTTTATATATCCCTCCAGATACTCTTGCTCATGTGTTTGATATGTTCCTTGATCAATTTGAGCAATATGTTACTAACTATAATAATTATGTAATTGTGGGAGATTTTAATGTACCTGGTCTTACGGCATTATTAGATGATCCCAAGAGCAGAAGTATGAAAAGCTTTATTGACTTCTTATCAGTTGTTCAACACAATTCAGTCACTAACTGTAATAATTCAATTCTCGATCTTGTCTTATCTGTAAAACGTTGCACCGTTGCTCGCGATCACGCTCCCCTTGTCTCTGAAGACTCTCATCATCCTGCACTTGTTTTTACAACACATGTAATAGCTGAACATCGGCAGAGATTTCCAATTAACTCACTCCATAAGTCATACAATTTCAAAAAAGCTAATTTTCGCGCTCTTTACGATGCTATGACTGTGGTAGACTGATCATTTTTAGAAGCTTTTGAGGATGTCGACTTGGCTTGCGACGCCTTGTATATTAAGTTATATTCTCTTCTCGACACCCATGTGCCGCAATACGTGCCTAAAAAACATAAATATCCCGTCTGGTATAGCCATGAGTTGAAACGATCTATTCAGCAAAAGGAGTATTTATTTAGGCAGTATAAGAAACATGGTAATTTATTTTATCTTAATCAGTTTAAAGTTTTTAGAACTCTAGTTAAAACACTCGCCAGTCGTGACTATAAATCTTATCTGTCACACATAGAGACTAACATTAGAACAGAACCTAGACGGTTTTGGAGTTTTGTAAACGGCAAGGCGGGCTCTAGTAGAATTCCTAACACGATGCACAGTACCGACAACGTTCTTTTAAATGACCCCGGCGCCATTGTGGAATCCTTTAGAGATTATTTTGGGAGCGTTCTCAGTAAGCCCCTCTCGGGTGAACATCGAAATCTTGGCACGTTTAATTGTACTAACTTTCCTTCAATAACTGTTAATTTTCTGACTGATGAGGAAATTATAAACTCAGCTGGAAAACTTAAAAATAAATTCACGTCAGGTCCGGACTTAATTCCCAGTTTCTTTGCTCGTGATTGTCGTTTCGTTTTGGCTAACCCGCTGGGATATATATTTAATCTCGCTCTTAAAACCGGAACTTTTCCTAGCGTGTGGAAGGTGGCAAGTGTTTGTCCAATCCTCAAAGGCGGCGACCCTTCTTACATTAATAACTATAGGCCCATTACTTTGTTATGCAATTTTGCGAAGGTCTTCGAGATGTCGTTGTATAATCGTATGTTTCCACTTTTCAGGGGTATCATATCTCTTGAACAACATGGTTTTATAGAAAAAAGATCAACTACCACAAATCTGATGTGTTTCACACAGTTCATATGTAATGTTATTGATCAGCGTGGGCAGGTAGACGTCATATACACCGATTTCTCGAAGGCCTTCGATCGCATTGATCACGGCATACTCCTCCATAAACTCGAAGTATACGGGCTTTGTGGCAACTTTTTACAACTGTTTAGCTCATATTTGTCAAATCGTCTTCAGTATGTCACTTACAACGGTTTTAAGTCTAGCCAGTATTCTATTACTTCTGGAGTACCTCAGGGTTCCAATCTAGGTCCCCTCCTATTTTCCATCTTTGTTAATGATATTACGACTTACATTGACTGTCGCAAACTAGTTTATGCCGACGACTTAAAAATCTTCTCCTCTATCTTAACTGATGATGACTGTCTTCACCTTCAGAGTCAATTGGACAAAATAGTCCTTTGGTGCGATTCAAATAATTTGCATTTAAATATCTCTAAGTGTAAAGTTGTTTCTTTTTCACGTAAACTTAAGCCCATTATAGTCAATTACAAAATTAACTCGGACGTCTTAGAGCGTACAGATACCATAAAAGATTTGGGAATTTATTTCGATAGTAACTTTACCTTTTCAAATCATATTCAATATCTGGTGTCCTCAACACTTAGTACGCTGGGCTTTGTGATTAGACAAGGTCGTGAATTCAGTGATAATGTTGTGTTGTTTTCATTATTTTACGCGTTTATCCGTCCCAAACTGGAATACTGTTCTCAGGCTTGGATTGTTTTTTATATTAACCAAGCCAGTTTAATTGATTCGGTGCAAAAAAAGTTTTTGAAATACCTCGCATTTCGCTCCGATGGCGTATATCCTGCTCGTGGATGCGATTATAAAATACTACTAACACGTTTCAAACTCGACTCGTTACAATACAGAAAGCACTTCCATAGTTTGAAATTTTTACATGCACTAGTAAACAATAAAGTAGACTGTCCCGAGATTCTAAGTCAATTGAATTTCTTAACAGTTAGGTCGGCTTGCCGCTCTCCACTTACTTTTTATACTTCTGCTTATAATACCAATGTGGGATTGAAGTCTCCTGTTTCTTTTATGTCACGCAATTATAACTTAATCTGTAACTCTTGTGATATATTCAACTGTAGCTTGCAACATCTGTACACAGCTTTTAGAAGTGTCAACAATTCATGATTGTTAACATAGGTAGTAGTTGCAGCTTTTCTTTTTCTTTCTTCTTATTTTCTTTTTCATTTGTTGTTACACTATCTTATCGGTATGTTTGTTGTATTTATTCTTTACATTTTGTTCTGTATGCTCACATGTTAAATAATATATTATATACTTTGCCCTGTAATTGGTGGTTCACTGTTGGACAAAAAAAAAAGTGATGTCGAGGAAAGCGGCAATGATAGCGACGAATAAAATAATTCATTAATAAAAACATTTTTTGTGCAACATTTACCCGCATTATACATCTTGCCGCCCATTCAATAAAATCATATAATTTTTTTACTGAATAACAATGAACATATTTGTACAATTTCATTTTTGCAAAAAAAACTTCAGTTTTTTATTCTTCTAAAGCTTAAATTTCACAAAATCGTGCATGTGTGCATAATATTAACGAAAATAACAATCAGGTGGCTTATGTGAGGGGGAAAACTCTTCAGCCGACCGTAAAACTCTTGAAAACGCATGCCCTGACGAGCGGCCCATTACCTGTCTGAATAAAAGTTAATGATCTCAGCTGAAGGCTGAAAAAATTTATATTAGAAAATCATACTTCTTAATTTAAAATATTTGGTCCTACAAAAAAACTGCAAATAAATTTGTTTGCTTATTTATTGTTCATAATACCTAAATACTGTTACAAATTGAAATGAATGCAGATAAAAAATACATAAATGGATAAAAAAACTGTATATGTAACATTATTTCCTCTGTACAACACGGTTACCTCACTTTCCCTACAGGATGTTTCGCTATAAGTACTGGGTGCCCCAAAAGTAATGCAGGATTTGAATCGTGCGCCAATTTCATTCCGAAGAGTTGGCAGCATTGCAGTCACATGTCATACTAAACACGTTACGGTTACACAAAATGGAGCGCCATATGACGGTGAGCCAGTGTAGATTGTGAAAATTCATTACAAGTTCGGAGAGGGTGTAGCTGAGACTGTGCGCAAATTATGTGGAAAAACTGAAAAAATGACACTGACGGTGATAGTTTGGTTTTTATTGTCACAATCAAAATGGTATAGGGGTCAACAAATAAAAAACGGTTAATATGAAGAAAATAGTTTTTTTTTGTTTAAGATAAAGTTTGGCATAACAGGTTGTTTTTGTTGGCTTTTAAAAAAATGTACAAGGTTGTTCAATTTAAACATTTTATTTAATTACTTTGCATTTCAAAATATCAGTTTTCAAACGTCTTTATTACAAAAACCGCTGATTTTAGAAATATGGTATGTTATACAAAAAGTGTTCAGAATTTACCGTACAATTCAAAAATGGCATATAGGGTGTTCCATTAAAAAAAATCAATGATGACTGCATATGTACCTCTTGAAACACCCACTATACAATTTTCTTATTTCAAAAAATTCGCAACTAAAAATACTAATAGACGTGTCCGAGCGTTTTTCCACAAAATAATTACCTGAATTTTAAACGAATTTTTTCCTTTCATGATGAACGCACTGTAGAAAACTGTGACACTTTATTGATAGAAAAATAGTAAATGTAAAAAAAAATATAAAACAAGTAAGAGAGATATGGCCAAAATAATATCTAATAAATATGCTAGAAAGAGATTTTTAATATAATATACTGGGTGTTTCATTAAAAAACGGCTTATTGAGGCAAGACCGTAGTAATACGATTTTTTTGTTCCTATTAACCTATTGTCTATTAATAAGGCTGTCGATCTTTACCATTTTTTCTTAGAATACATGTTATGTGAATGCCCCTGTACCAATAATTTTTTGGACGCAAATGGATTTCCAGTCTGGCAAACAAAACACACTCGCTGCCGTCGTCTTCGCATTATTCCTAATTTGCATATTGTTCCAGGGCCGCCTGCGATCCGCTGCACGGCACGCCGACACCGTGAGCGTCCCGATTTGTCCGATAAGAAACGGGAGTGGATGCACTGTGCGATGCTAGCCTGATCTGAATTAATCCCCTCCGAGTTAAGTGCCCCCAGAATAGCGATATGACGACCGAGGACTCGTCCGGGCCCAGCGCGGCCCCCGATAGGTGAGTGGCGGCGTCCCCATTTGCATAGAATACGACCCTCTCTGATATGCATACATATAAGGTTCCGTTGTGGAGTTTACATTCAGAAATAGGGAGGAATATATTTGGGAATAAAGCGTTGCGCGATGGAATATTCTTTGTTTTGCCGGTTGTGAAATAGTATACAGGGGGTAACTTTGTATGCGGATCATATTTGTACGGAGGCGCTCTTTGATCTTAAAAAAGACATAATCGTAAGTTTGTTTTCTCAAATTTCACCGAGAATACTGTTTTTGCATTGTTGTCAAATCGTATAATAGAAAACAATGAACGATAAATATAAGATAATAGCTTGAAATAATTTGGAGCGTACCTTATGTGCTGGCCAGGATACGACTCTGGTTATTGAACTGCATGATCTCTGGGTTGGCGTTCGAACGCACATTACGCTGTCTCCGCATGGGATCCTGTAGCAACGTCCGCGTCAGAGTTGGAGAAATGGTATTTTGTAATAACGTCCGTCTATGGTTTGTGGGTGTCTTTAAAGGGTTGTGGTACTGAAACTTATTTTGATTAATTGTGACCCTTACTTTACTTCGAGCTTCGAATTTTTTGGACATATTCAATTTTGCCTATATTCAAAAGAGGGGTGAATATTTACATGCACGCGTGATCAGCGGCGTCTGATACCGCTAATGTCCTTTGGAGGTCATCATGGCTTCGTAGCGGAATTGCGGAAAATTTTCAAAACAGGACTGAAGCTTTTCGTGCTTTAGTGGCATTTCAATTTCGTCTTGATATTTGTTTTCAGCTTAATCAACTGTTTACAAAATATTGATATAATTTCAGAATCCGTTGTAACCTGAAGGGTTATTTCTTACTTATCTATCTACCGCTATGACCAGTATCATAAGGGTGTTAACTGACAAAATAGGTTACTATTAACTTCTCGAAACGGAGTTTATAATTATCATTATACTTTAACCAATACGTGGGGACTTAGAAATGTTGTACGTTCAGAGAATGAATTTCAGTGACTAGCTGTACAGGGTGACACTGAAGTTGGAAGAACAAAAAGAAACACCATAACTTTCCAGGAAGGGTTTTAATAACAATAAAACAGAACAAACAAACAAAATAACGACACAACGGGCTCGAACAACATTATTAATTAATTTATTTACACGCGACAGCGTACCGAGATTTAGGAAATGCGCGATCCATAGCAAAATTTGGAATGACTTTTCCATTATTAAATTAACCCGAGACTCTAAAACTAAGTAGACTGCACAATGTGAAACCCAAGGAAGAACTGCTTTCTTCGAAGATCTCTCCTGAATTCGACACATCGCTTCGACACGCCCATTTATTGGGTCCAGACGTTTCTGTTCTTATCTTACTGGCGGGAACCCTGAATGTCGGGACGCTTTGGCATAACTATGCCATGTTAATCGTTCTCTAATTGACTGATTTTACATTTATCTAAATAATTTTGAGACTAACTGAACTTACAAGTAACCCTAGCCTTCCTGTAGTGACTCCGTGTAGCAATACGGGACGGATTAGTCCATCTCATTTAATCTATTCTTATAGCTTGGAAAATCCGCCTAAAAAACAGCTATTTGACCTATTATTATTTTCCTGACAACATTCTAACAACTTATTCTTGGAATTCCTACGTTCTTAGGAATGCATTTTGCGCGTTATTGGAAATATCGATTTTTCGCTTTATACTAGATGCTCAACACATGGCCCTGACAGTTTAAGTGAACTTGTTAAAAAATATTGCTAAATTTCTCCGAAGGACGACGTTAAACCTACTTGAGAGCCCTTAACTTTCGATAATTAGTGTTGACTGAAATATTTTACTTTTTGGCCCATCCGCTCCGAGAACTAACCAATAAATTACCACGCGTCCCGGCTTTTGTTACACCGTCAATTCATTTTCAGAAAACTGAAACTATGTTTCTGAAAGTGTGAACTGATTTTCAGATTAGGTTTCTTTTTTATGACTTTGGATCATATCTAAATAATAACACAACCCCACCAAAAAAAGATAGTCGTGATCTGGATGATTGACCATTTTGTGTAGAGCCAAAAACATCCCTTAAACCTCTGGTAAAGTTATGAATACCAATATCATTACGAAAAGGAGTATGAATGGGCAGTTTACAATCCTCGTGCTCTCATCTATTACTACCAAGGATTTCCCCCTATGGGGTTGGTACCCCTTCTACACCCCTTCTACTTCTATACCCTCCCGGACATACATTTGCGTCATGAAAGACTTACAAACTCTTGAGAATGCAAAGGAGACATGGTGAAGGGTGAACCAGACAAAGAACCGACCCCCTAGAAAACTACTACTCTCTGCTGGGCGGGTGGAGGAAGATGTGGAAGATTAAAGGACCCCGCAACTATCCTAATGGAAAACCGGTCCCGGTCGAATGGTACGAAACTTTGCCGAATGATAGTCTTCAATGTGTCGATCAAAAAAGTCCATGGGACCTAGGTCTAAAAAACTACTGTTCTGAATCTACATCTGAAGTTATCGAATCCACGTGCTCGATGACCATTCAATGATTTATGGACGAGTAAAAGCAAATATTTCTTTATAAAGTGACCAAGCTGGCTGTTTCTTGATTTATTTTCGTGTGTTGAATGCGAATCCGTGGTCAAAATAGCTGTATCATCCTTCAGTTTTCAGAAAATCGGTGAAGCATCTACTGAAGAACAGCGATAGCGACACGTACTGCTCGAGCGATATCTTATGTTCTTACGCGTGCTGAATCCGTCATCCGCATATCTGCAGCATTCCTCAGTCTTCAAAAAATGGCTTAAGCACCTTCAGAAAACTTGACTTGATCGTCATCAAGCACGTAGATTCGATAACTTTAGAATCACATGGACTTTTTTGAGCGACACATTGAGGACTATCATTCGGGCAAAGTTTCGAACCATTAGACCGGGATCGGTTTTCCATAAGGATAGTTACGGCGGGGTCCTTCTTCCTGTTTTTACTCAGCAATGGTTCCAGTGCACTGAGCAGAACAGCCCTCAACTGCTTTGCCCGTCTAAATGGTGGAAACTAGTTATTTTGCTCTTCTTTTATTTTGTTGACTCTTTGTTGCTATTTCTTACGTTGAATTTTGAAGGTGTCTGTTAGAAAAAGTGTGTGTTAAATTAAAGTATAGAACGCAGAGGTAAAAGGTTAAGGCAGGCAAAGCGGAGCGAGGGTTAGAGAAGGGATAACAGAAGGTGTATGGGAGCTCGATAAATTCCGCACTGAAAAAAATTAATCTTCCTACATCCTTCTGCGCCTTCCTGTTTCCCACTCATCAAGGGATGTTCTTTACTTGTTTTAAGGGTTAGTCTTGCTGTGCAAACTCAATACCGTTGGTAGATCCCTTCTCTCCGATTGGAAATATCCAGAATGCATATTTCCGGTCTTAAAAGTTTTTCGAATGCTTCTTGTGAATTTGGGGGTGGTTTCCACCCCTTAGACGGGTACGGGCAAAGCAGTAGAGGGCTGTTCTGCTCAGTGAACTGCGACTATTGCGCAGTGAAAACAAGAAAAATTTGATCTCCCACATCTTCCTCCATGTTGATATTCATAACGTTACCCCTATTTAAGGGATGTTTTGGCTCTTCACAAAAATTTAAGGGGCATACGAATTTTTTTTACCACAAAAAAATACATAGAAGATCAAGACCTTTTTTTTTTTGTGGGCTGTGTAATCTTTGCTAAAAACTCTTGACGCATGAGGCCCCTACACTGTAATATTTTTCAGTACATTATACATTAGAGAATTTGAGACAAAGATTTTGTTTGTGCTGATTAAAAAGTTCTAAGCCACTTTGAGGGTGAATAGTAAACAACAGATTTAAATCTTAAATTTGGAAAGAACATTATAAATGGGGGACAATCCTTATGAATATTTGATTAAGCTGCTTTTATTCGTGCCAAATGCTTTTCTCGAGCATCTGTAGGATTCCTAAAAATTTATCACCAGTGTTAGTAAGTAATAGTAACGAGCGTTCAAATAAAAACGTGGTCAAGTTGGTTCTGAAAATTTTGACGTAGGGCGTAGCGTATAGCAAATGAACTTAAACGTTATCTGTCAAAGCACTATATCGCAGCTATCAATTTGAATATTTTCGTTTTAAAAAGCGTTTAAAATGGTGTTTTCTCAAGAACAAAAAGTGTTTATCATAGAGTCCTACTTTAGAAATGGACGCAAGATTGATGGAATATGGAAGTATTCTATTGAGGAATGTTTCATAGAATTTCAAAATCAATTTCCCGGCGTTGTTGAGTACAAAATTTTTCAAAGTGCAGTTCAGCGTTGTGTTAATGTTTTTCGTGAAACGGGCAGTGTAACAAGAAAAGAAGGAAGCGGCCGACCTAAAAAGCGGACTGAAGAATTAAAAGAAAATGTCCAACAAATAATGGAAAATGCGCCAAGAACTTCTGTACGTGTTTTATCACAAATGGTGGGAGTATCAGTCGGTACCTGCCACACAGTGTTAAAAAAAGATTTGCGTTTGTTCTCCTATCGTTTAACTTGTCAGCAAGAACTTCATGAAGTTGATTTTCCGCGACGGGCTGTATTTTGTGAATGGTTTTTAAACAACTACGGTGAACTTCATAATATCACCTTTTTTTCTGATGAAGCCTGGTTTCATTTAAGTGGTTACGTAAACTCACAGAATATGAGAATGTGGTCTTCTGAAAAACCAGATAACTTTTTTGTCGAGGGCCCTCTACACGCTCAAAAAATTGGAGTTTGGTGTGCTCTCAATCGAAGGAGGATTTATGGACCTATTTTTTTTAATGGTACTCTTACTGCGCAAAGGTATAGAGAAGAAATTATCGCTCCTTTTGTTAACCAGCTGGAAGAAAACGAAATTACAAACTTTTACTTTCAACAAGATGGCGCAAGGGCACATACGGCAGGCGAGACGATGAATATGTTGAGGGAAGTTTTCCAAAATCGACTAATAAGTCTCAATGCTGAACA